GACCAAATCTCCAATATGCAAAAAGTACTTGCACCAGGCTCTCACATGCAAGTGTGACCGGGCTCGTGTAATGGTAAACCATTGCGACCATGACCCGTATGGCCTGTCAACAGGAGTGAGTGAGCATGTGTGCCGAGTGGACTGTTCAGAGCTGGTCTGCGGTTCATGCGATCTTGGTGGGGTCAAATCGGCCGAAGTCCAGAACATGTGGGTTGAAAAACGATGGTATCCGGGCCGCGGAAACTCATGCAACCTCGCACACACAACTTTGGAAGTAGTTCCATGCAGGTATAGGAGACTGTAGGGAGACTCCTGCCAAGAGTGGAGAATCTACCCCCTTTCCACACGTATTTGTTTTGGAAATGCTTCATGTTTTCTTGAAGTAACTAGCGTTATGCACCCCCCCACCCTTCTTGTATGTGGGAGAATGTAGGAGGACTCACCGAGATGCTCGCAAACAGCTGAGTATAGTTGAGTATCTTCCCCTTGCCACCGCGAGCGCATGCGATGTTGTATGTGGCTCCGCGCATGCGTGATGGTTTATACTGCAGCTGAACATCAGCCTCGCAGCCACAAGCCCCACAAGCCTTTCAAGTCTTGCCGTCCCTCCTCCGCCGATCCAAAGTGACGTGATGGCGTGCTGGGAAGTCCAGGAACTTCGTCGAGAGCTCCGTGGCTGAAATGCAGCAACACCGCCTTTTAGCAGTTAACACCAGTCTGAGATCAAGGAACCTGGAGCTTCGACGGGCAATTTTCCAGCTGCAAAACCAGCCGCTTTACGTGATTTATAGCCACTGTACATGGGACCGCAACGATCAGAATTGGGTTTGGCGGGGATCTTTCTGAGCGGTTTTGAGCGAACCTGGAAGAGTGTGTTTAAAGGGATTCGTTTTAGTAGGGGTCTATGAGGGTAGGTTACATGGGTTTGAGAGGGCTTCGAGGATTTTTTCAAACTGGGATTGACATGTTACCGAACGGCTTTTTGAGGGGGTTTGCAGTGTCCAGTGGAAGAGGGTTCGACTGGCACGGGGGGGCTGGTACCCAGACTTCGAACCGTTGTAGGTTTACCTGTTTTTCTGGTTATGGGCTCTGTCAGGGTAGAGGTAAGTTATGAGGTGTCTGGTGGATTCAGGATTTGGGGGGTGTAGTTTTGAGGATATCAGCGTGTCGGGTCGCGAGGTTTAGGGTGTCGAGGCCTCAGTGCATTGTAGCGAGTACTATGGGGGCCTAAATACTTACCAACATCATTCATGGGAGTTCCTTATAAGAATAATAACTATGTCAGAATATACCCCCAAACCCGATTCAGCCTTGTTTTTACTTAAAGGAAAATCGCAAAGAAAGGGAAAATCTGACTGGTTCACACCGTCCCTAAGTCATAAGTGGGGATCCCAAAACCTGCTGTTTTCAGAGGTTAGACCCTCTAATTAACGGGTCAGAACCTACTACTTTGTAGGGTTGGGGATCAAGTTTTACATGTGAACTTGTTGTTACAAGCTGAGATTAAAAAGGCTTCTCGCGGTCGTATAGCACCGGAACAAGTTGAATGTAGTAGTTCTTAGACAAATATACAGCCGAACAGTGGAGCAAGGCAATCTCACACAACCCTGCAAATTACTGCAAAGCTTGTGTTCTGGACGGCCGAGCACAGGTCACGAACTGCGGTGGTTCCCACGACCACCTCTCAGACGTATGCAGCCCAGTGTCGTTCATGTGGTCTGTGTGCTTGTTTGTGTGTTAGGTGTCTTTGCCGGGTTCTGGTGCATCGTGCTGCAAGGCTTTCAGGCTGAGTGTCATTATGCAGGGCTTGGAGTTCACGGCCTATATAGTTAGTTTATGCGAGCGGGATCGTGTTTCCAAAGCTTGTTGAGATACATGGACTCCCAGTTGGCTCTTTTTCCCTTTGTGTAGGTTCCTAATGAAATTCACCAGTAGCATGTTAATTCGCAGGTTTCCGGGCATCTTGGGATATGTTCAGAGGGCCTATCTGGCCAAGAGCTGGGTCATGAATTGGCACTTCAGAGTTTCCGAAATTAGGGCGTATAATATGGATCCCACTATTTAGGGTACTATGTTAGGATCCCTTTTTTTCGGAAACTCCCATGTGAGGCTTGCATGACTTCACATTACTTCAAACTGTATACGTAGACGGTACCTGGAAGGAAAAAGCCTTGTCAGAACCCTCCATACAGTCTTGTCTCTGTGCACTCCTCCAGGCATCCACAGTCCTAGCCCCAACGCACTGTACCTTCCATGACAAATCGCACGCGAAAAACCTATCAGGTCAGCATCGACTTGAATCCGGATCCAATCTCCCGATCGACTCCCTTCACGCTGACCCTGGCTGGCACCCTGGATGAGGAAAGCTGGGATGGGTGCACTGCAACAGATTCGGAAGGAAAGCTAGGTTTTTTCTTGTTGGGGGGGATCCTTGTTGGAGGACGCTCCTGTGTGTCGCTGTCCTAGTACTTCCCGGGAAGGATGTCGAACCAGCCGATGCCCGTGAACCTTGAATACAGAGCTGTATTCCGGCAGCTGAATCCACCCTAAACCCTGAACTCCCCCAACCCTTGCCTGCACCCTATAAAACTTTTTTTTAGGTCCCCTATCATCCTTGTACAAGTCCTTAAAAAGGTAGGTTGTTTGGGGTTAAGATAACCCTGCTCAAGTCGATTGCAGGATCTCACCGGCGGTGAGCTTGATGTGTCGCTGGAGGCTTGCATGACCTGATTGCAACTTGCGTAAGGAAATCCCGAGTTTGGGTTGTAATAAAGAGGGCTTAATAAATTACCTGTACCACGTTAGGGTTCCTTATTGTAATTATAGTTTAATGGGCCCCAAAAACCTGTTCTGATTATTGAGGCCCCCCATATTAAATTTCCGTTCCCTTGCTGTTGGCGGTGCGGGGTGAATGGGTACCGAAGAACATCTGCTTATCTATCCGTCCATCTGTCTAGCTGCTACCTGCTTGGTCATAGGTGAGTAACATTTTAGCTTTTTAAAACCCAGTAAGGAATGAACGTGTATATTTTTAATCCTATCCCAACAATGAACTAGCCTAGGTGTATCTATATCTATCCACTATCTTCCATATACACGACTATATAACCATATATATATATATATATATATATATATATATGCATAGGACAGGCTCCTGCGGATTACATGAGTCTAAGGTTAGAAGTATGGGCCCCTAATATCAACCCTTATGCCTTTTTGAGGGAGCTCCAGGGACTCTTTAGAGTCAATATAGGGTATATAGGTATTTAGGGATCCCAAGGTTACGCGCCCATACTAGGGGCCCATGGTTTCAATCCTGGAATGAGGGTTTCCTATAGTCTCCATTGTAGTTCCTTCTTTTGGTTAACCAATTTGATGGTTAGGATCCTATAATAGAGTTTTTGGTTAGCCAAAAAAAGAACTACAATGGAGACTATAGGTAGTCCCTATCTCTCACCCAAAGGCTCCATGTACCTTGATAGTACATACTTTGGCCTTAAAGTAGTCCCTATATGGGTATTATAGGTTTGTAGAAATGGCAAGAGCCTTCTCCTCGCTTTTCTGGGAGGTCCGCGCCTTGCATGTCATCGACAAGGTGCAGCAAAACCTGTTAATTAAGCATAAGGTTCCTTTAGCTTACCTTTGGTTACTACAAGGGATCTATAAGGGTACTATAATATAGGGGGCTTAATAATCCTATAACTTACCTTGGGTTAGTGGGGAATGGAGGAATGGGGTACAATTGTAACTACGATTACTACCATTCTTCCATTCCCTATTAACCAAAGGTATAAGTTAGGGCTGCCTTAAAGCATTCCTGCCAGGGCGCCTTTAGGGATGCTTTTGAGGGTACTATAATGTAACGGTATTAACAAGAGTACCATATAAGGGTTTTGCTTCCAGGGTATGATTGGTCCATGTACCCATCAAGTATACACTCAGGCCTGTAAGGTTTATACAGGTGCGTGCAAAGATGGCCCTTAGGGTAGGACGCGAGGCTTCAAACCCTACAGTTTTGGGGTTTCGGGTCCGGGGTGTATAGAGTTTAGGGTTTAGGAGGGCTTCAATGACCTAAAAAGTGGCTAGTGGGTTAATGGACTAAAACTGACGGGTTGAAGCCTAAACTCCGAGGCAACCCAGATCAAAAAGGGTTAGGCTATACCCAGAGTAATTAGCAAGCGTAGCTTCGAAAACAGGATAGAACCCAACAAAAAGCATGTTTTTGGAGGCGCCTTGGCTTCTGCAGGTAACTTAGGGGTACTTAGAAATAGTTTTTAATTTTTGGTTACTATAACCCTAAGAAACGGCTAAAATTACCATTCTTGCTAGTGTTCTAAGTTCAGTTTAGGTAAGGTTTAGGCAGTCTCGGTGCCAAAAGTTCAAGCACAGGCCAACGCCCTAAGGCCAAACTAAGCGCTGAACGAAAGGAACGTCTTTGCAAATAGTTTGGGGTGTAGCGTTTACACAGGGCAAGAAGTATTTAACAACAAGGGTGAACAACAGAATTCGTCAAGTGCTGATGGCCAAGAACCTATTCCAGTCATTAAAGCCCGATCAATAAGACGCGTTAGCAACCTTTACAGCAACCCTTTCAAGAAGCCTTCTCAAGGTTCTAACCATTGCATCGGGCTGCAGAGCATGTCAAACAGATCCCGAGACGTTTTCTGCAACGGCAGCCGATGCAACATAGGTTTCTTCAAGTATTTAGACTTTAGGGTTAATGAACACCACCTGGCGATACAGTCCACGGCCACTATACAGTAAGGTCATTGACGAGTTTCGAGCAAACTTCAACACAAAAGCTGTCCCAACCCCTAAACCCCGATCCCCCATACACCTTGCAGCTGTGAAGGTTACGTGCAAGGGAGGTCATTCACAAAGCGTGGGAATTTGGAGCTTGTGTTTACTTGACGGTTGAGGCTTCGGGCCTTCGGGCGTTTAGCGTTGTTCCTAAATTGGGCGGGTTGTAGCAGACTGTCTGGTTTTATCCTCGTGCGATGGCCCACCATTCAATGCTGTCGGTGGCTGCGAATGTCGACCTTGAACACATACAGGGCATTGAGGAGCCAGCGGAGGGCCCGGAGGACCCGGGTCTAAACCCTAAACCCTAGAAAGGCCTAAACCCCGAAAGCCCTAACCCCTAAACCCCTAAACACCCAACCCCTAAACCCTAAACCCCCAAACCCGAAACCCTAAACCCCCAAACCCTAAAGCCCTAAACCGTCAACCCCTTATCCCCTAAACCCTAAACCTTAGGCCGGTTCAGGGCAGAGGACGACTTCCTCGAATTCCAGCTCAGCTGTTGATTGGGGACTGGAATAACGAGGTTTCCAGTGACCCTCCCAATGGCCCTTGAATAGAGCCCTTGTGGTCCCTAAGCCCTAAACCCTAAACCCTATTGATGATTCCGTTGGAAATCCTGATTCTGGCTTCCCTGCACCCACCCCCGTCTTTGCATGGAATGAAGCCCGACGGCTAGTTCTAAGGATAGACCATTTAGGGTGTGGGAGTCCTGGCCAGGACAAACACCTTAAGTGCGCATTTTGGATTGAGGGTTAGGTTTGAATCAGGACTGATACTAACATACATTTATAACAGTATAATAGCATCAAAAACATTCATCATATGTTTACATATACTTCTTCAGGGATTTCGGGCTTAGGGTTTTTGGGTTTAAGGCTGAGGACGTAAGGTCTGTGGAGTTTACGGCCGGTAGCCCCAATAGACAGCATGGACGGATGTCAACGAATAGATCAATGTCATCACACAGGCAGAAGAAGCTCGAACACAACAAGCTCGAGCTCCGAGAGGTTCTGATATTTCGGCGAACTTGGTTCGCGTGCCAAAATTGAGTAGGCACGAGCATGATGTGGCAGATCTTCGTGGACTGCTTTCACCACTGGCCCAAAAACATAGTCTTGCTTACAAATATGTAAGTCCAAGACATCTGCTTTCGCTTGCGCATGAAACTCCAGAGCCAATCACGACAAGAAGATGTTACACTAGAAGCCAGAAAGTTGGAATATCATTATCGTAGCCCCCTTAAGGTAAATTATAGGGGATCCTACCATTAATCCATATTCCAACTTTCTGGAGTTCCCTATAAGAGCCCTGTTCTTGAATCTTGGAGCACCCAGCCTGTCACCTCAGTAAGTTCAAAAGATCTTCAGATCACAGTGAGGAAACCCTTCTTTGCAGGAAATGCTATAGGGGCCTGTTTCATTACCTATACCATTTTGGGGTTCCTTATTATAATTACACTATCATGCGCCCCAAAACCTCTGTTCTAATCATTTAAGGCCCCTGCATTAGAGAGTCATCTTTTTTTCATGGGCTTGTATAAGGGTAGTTCCCGAAATAATGGTTGTTTCTAAAGTCTCTTTGTTTTATAAGGGTGCCGTATTATCTTGGGTTTTTGGGCCCCTAATTTGGACAACTATCCTTATAGGAACCCTTTAGAAACCCTTACGGATCTCTCTAAGGACTAAATTAAAAAGGGACAGCTAAACCCATAAGCCCTAAACCCCTCAACTCCTAAGCTCCTGAACGCTAAACACACGGTATGTGGAGCTTGGAGGGTCGTGGGACTTAGCGGTTTCGGTTATAAGTACCCTTAATTGGGGTTATAAGTATGGTTACCTTAGTTATAAGTAACCCTAGTTACTAAGTCCCATGACCCTTTAAGAGGAGGTCGTTGAGGAGATGGAAGTGCAGCGCCAGACGAGCCATTCTACAAACCCGCGCCTTGGCTTAGGGGTTTAGGGCTTTAGGGCTTAGGGTTCAGGGCCTTAGGCTTCAGGCTTTCGGGTTTAGGGCTTTAGGGCTTTAGGCTTTAGGGTTTAGGGCCTTAGGCTTTAGGGTTTAGGGCCTTAGGCTTTAGGGTTGAGAGTTTAGGGGTGGGGGGGAGGGGGTGAGGGGCTGGCTTTTCTGAAGTCTTGTTTTCGCGAACGGGCCTTCGCCCAAGGACTTCTGAACCTTAGTTGCAACCGTCAACCCTGAGGCCTCTAGAGGTCCAGAAGCGTTGAAGCCTAAAATACTATATAGGGGCCTAAAAAATTACCAACACTGTTTTGGGTGTTCCTTATTATAATTACCGTATACTGGGCCCCAAAACCCTATTCGAACTGTTAAGGCGCCTGTACTAAACCATATAATAGTAGCCCTTATAGACCCCTTTTAAATGGACCCCGTTAAAAAGGACCCCTTTAAAGGAACCTTACTGGGCCCCTAAGTTGGGCTGCCCAGGTCTGGAAAGTCTGAGAGAGAGAAGGTCGAGGAGTTTACCCTGCAGCGAGAGATTGAGCGCCTGCGCTCCTTCTATTTCGTGCTGCAGCTGGCCTTTGCTACTCTGTTCTCTGGAGTTATTCTGACGGCGTTGACGGAGCTCATGTGGAGAAATCTCCCAGCTGGACGCACGACTGAGAGTATTATCTCCGGCCTGTCTGTGTTAGCGTGGTTTTTGACGTCTGCATCGATCACCATTGTTTCGACCTGCCCGATTGATGAGCTGGACCTCAACTCCTTCATGCACCTGTTCTCCTAAGCCACATTTTTCTAACGCTTGAGAACCGCGGAGGAATGTTGGGCATGAGACGGCAATACATCGTTTAGTTAGTCAGAATTCACCAAAACTAGGATGCCCAGTAGTACCCTTATTTCTTTTTTGTAGTCCTAGATTCCTTATAAAAGTTACCCAATATAAAAAAAAGGCCTTTTTATTCTTAGGTTACTGGGTGTCCTAGAAAATGTTCTGTAAGGAATGAAAACAGGCCCAAGCACTCAATCCCCAAAACTCCGAAAGCAACATCTGTAGGCAGTCTCGGCCGTTGGCATGTGCTTTTCTGGCCATCCCGCCATTGTCAGCATCTGCACCGCGGGTGTTGGAGAGGCCATCAGTCCAGGATTATCTCTACTTTTGAGGGTGCGTGGATTAGGTGCTTAGGCGTAGGCGTAAAGGTCGGTTTAGGGTTCAGGGTTTAGGGTGTTATGGAGGTTTTAGGCTTTTAGGGTTTAGGGCCTTGGGACATGCAGGTCTATGCCAAAAGAAGTTCACCCAGCACAAGAAACTGCCGTTTGCAGTCGCTTGCAAATCCTGTTGCGTGGATCCGGCTGACTTTACGTCTCACAACCCATTATTTGTAGGGCTCAGGGCTACAGGATTTGCAACTCGAAATCCTCTTTTCCTCAACCAGTAATCTTGATTCTAGCACCCTGCATATATATATATATATATATATATATATATATACAGATACTAGAATATACCCTCAATCGCTATTCCAATTGTTCAACGATCCTTGTAGTAGTCTGCATTACTTGTCTTATTGTGAATTATTATTGTCACTACTACTACGGTTGATGTTATAAATCCTGCATTACCCATAATAAGAACTATACCATTATTCCCATAGTTTAGGGTCCTTAGGGTAGTGCAGGATGTATATCATCAACCGTACTTCCCAAGAGGCCCTATGGGCGCTGGGTCTCCTGCCTCGCCTCCCGGACGGCTTTTGCTGTTGAATGTCGGGCTTAGCCTTTAGGGTTTAGGGTTTAGGCTTTAGGGTTTAGGGTTTAGGGTTCAGGGTTTAGGGTTTAGGGTTCAGGGTTTAGGGTCTAGGCTTTAAGGTTCAGGGGTGTAAAGGTTTCCGGTTTCAAGGTTTTAGGGTTTTGGGATGGAGTTGAGTGGTGTTTGGGAGCCCCTGATGAGCAAGAAGCCTTATCCCGTGAACCCAAAACCCCCCCAAAAAAAACTAGGATTCCCTACCCGGTCCACGCCAGGATTCCGATCTGAGTAGGAGAAGCCTCTGTGCAGCTGCTGGGGTATTCCTGGGATCCGAGAACCTACCGTTTTAAGGGCTCAGCGGCTCTACCCTCTAATTAAGGGGTCATAACCTACTATTTGGTTAAGCCTTACCTAGAGCAACCAAGGTATCTTTACGTGCGACTTGAGGGCGAGTGGATGGGTTTTCGCTGGGTTTAAGATTGGCTTGGTGGCGACCTTAATAAAGCCAGCAAGCAGACTCAGCATTTCTGGGTGAACTCACCTTAGAGGGCGTATTGCTTCTTTGGGATCGCTCTATGCCCGCACAGGTTGTTTTCAACGGTGATGGGCGCCCCCAGCACATGTCGCGAGTAAGGATGAGAAGTAGGATTGCGAGAAACATGGCCTTGCTTCAACACCTTATGTACTAACTCTTGTAATACCTCTCATGGTCACAGATTCCCGTGCTGCCGAGGTGGGGCTGGCCTTATTAGTACATGGCTGCTCTTGCAGGCGGAGATGTCTGCGACAGTGCAGCAGGCGGTTCCGACGCATGTGGCCCTCGTTTTGCACGCTCATGGAGCTGTGGTATTTGGACACCATGTTTCATGGACTCCCAGTAGGCCCTTTTTCCCTTTTTGTAGTCCCAGGTTCCTGAAAAAGTTCCCAAAGTACCAAAAAGGGAGCCCTTTTTCTTCGTAGGTTACTAACCATCCTAGGTTAGCAGGCACCCTGACCGAAATCGCGTCGAACGATCGCTTGCCGGTCTTCAATGTTTGGTCAGCTGCGACGACTGCTCCGGCCTTCCTCCTGGAGGCATGGTTGCGCTGGAGAAGCTGGGCTCTTGTTAAGGAGTTTTTTCTGAGTAGCTGGGTGGATACGCTTTGCACTTTTTGGGATAGTATTACCCACTGTAAAACCGAAAGTGTACATTTTTTGGGTGCTTATGAACTCAGCAACTAAGTTGTTGTAAGCTAGCATAATAGGGATCTATAGGAGGTAGTACAGTTTCCTTGGTATGGTATCTTTCGTTTCATTAATAAGTTCCTTAAACAAGAGCCCCCAGGAAGGGTAAAGCCCACCCTGCGATTCTACATGATGAGCTATGCTGCACTGATCAGCACTAGTGGTTACCATGCTTGCAGAGGGATCGAGATGGCCCTGGGTTTCCGGGACTGGGAGGAAGGTCGGCAGTTACTAGGTAGGCCTTTGGGACTTTTTTGTATTTCCCCTTCTTGGGCTTCATAGGATCCTATTTACGAATATTTTTCAGAGGCTTTAAGGGGCCAACCTAGGTTAGATATTGCCATTATTGCAGCCCTTGCCTTCGCTGCGGCGCTGCTCCTTCCGCTTCTCGGGGTGCTTTTCTTCGGACGCAGGCGGCTCTTTCGCCTGCTGCCTGGCATCCAAAAACCCCTACTGTTTTAGGGTCATACCCTACAGTTAGTGGTCCTAACCCACTTCTTTTTGTAGGGTTTGGAGCTACCCTATACCCTAAACCCTAAACCCTGAAACCTCCACCAGGTTGTCGGAGTGGCTGGACCAGCGCCGTGGTCAGAAACTCCAGGACGGGGCCTTCATGGCGATGCTGCTGGACTCCTATTTGGTGGAGCTCGGGCAGCGCCTCGGTTTCGTCAGCAAGCCCTTTTCTGCAAGTAGGGTTTAGGGTTCTGGGTTCAGGTTTAGCGTTTAGGGTTTAGGTTTAGTGTTTAGGGTTTAGGGTTTTAACATCTATTCAGTCAGTCAGCTCCAGCTGGCAGTGGCTGTACTGGACTTCTAGCGAACCCTTGAATCACCCCACTCATCTTCGTTGAGTGGTCGTGCTCGTAGCAGTCGCCGCGTCGCCGCACCGTCGGCAACAACCGTGAGACCACGACCACATCCATCGTCCACCCACCTTTCACGATAGCTCTCACTTTTTTCTGCTTTGTATATGAGTGGTTGTCAAAATGATGGTCCCTTTTTGGGTAATTACCCTAAATAATAGGTGCCGTATTATAATAAGGACCCAAACAGTTACCCGAATTTTGACAACCATCCCTATGGTTCACAAAGCACTCTCCAAGCCACTCCTTCGACTAAGGCCATGGTGGCTGTCTGCCGAGGAGCTTGCGGACCTACCCGAGGTCTCCCAAGTCCCTGGGCTTACCTTTGGTTAGTAGGGAATGGATGAAGGGTAGTAATAGTTATATTATATGGGCAGTGGTCAAAATACCGTGTAGCGAAGTTTATACAAAACAACCTATGGGATTGTTGGGGTCTCTATTTTATTTACGACAAGAGGCGTCACGCAACTAGGGCTCCTAATCCCCTTGTCGGCGCTAGGACAGCGCTAGCCTGGCGCTAGAGACCTAGATAGCATGTGTTCGTGACATATTCAAGCTTAAAGTATATGATAAGTCCGTGCACCTGTTACTCTTTCCCTAATCCTACCCCTAACTACTCCTACTCGCACTCTGAACTCCTACTTCTTCTCCTGCTCCTACTTCTACTCCTCCTACTCCTACTCCTGCTCCCACTCCCACTCCCACTTACACTCCCACTCCTACTGCTGTTATTGCCACAGCAACTGCTACTGCTCCTGATGCTGCTGCTACCACGGTTTAACCTCCTGCGAACTACAATGTCACTCCAATCGCGCATTGCTTGAGGAAGCTCTTTCCTCGCAAGTACCAATGTTCTTTTCAGTCGCAGAAATCATGCCATCACAGCTGAGCCAAAAAAGGTGTGATAACATGGGCAATCCGCGCTAGGCGCGCGCTAGCTCCGCGCTAGCAGCGCGCTAGGAAACTGTTCATCCCTGATGCCTAGCCCATCTTTCTCATCTACACTAGTCTACTGAACCATGTTGACGTCAGCTGAGCGCCAACCCCTGCGAAATGCTGGCCGTGACGCCTACTTCAAGGACCATGGCAAGAATGATTGGCTCGTGCAGGCAGCCAAGGAGGCTAAAGGTGCGAATGTGCGGAGGAAGGAGCTCAATCACTGCTTGGAAACGGAACGTGTGCAATAGAGCGTGCTTCGTGAAAATATGCTTCCTACTCCTTTACTTCACGGGTCGCAAGCCTTTCCGAAGTTTCCAATCATCAAGACTAGCCGTGCGACAGCCTTCCACACACCACACATGTGGCCCGCGCTAGCAACACTTCAGAGATTTGCAATCGAGAAGTCAAAACGTGGAATCCTGTAGTGGTAGCGCTTGTCTCTTCCACAAGAGGCGTCACGCCACTACTGCCGCATTTAGGTCGATCTCAGGAACAATAATATTGAACAGCGCCCATATCTATTCTTACCTTTGGTTGGTAGGGAATGGAGGAATGGGGTACAATTATAACTTACTATTACTATCATTCTGCCATTCCCTACTAACCAAAGGTCCCTGGGGTCATCCGTCCTCCCGCCGCCGGGCCTTTGGCAGGCCTGGATGTAAGCCTCACAGGTCCTCTGCTTTTATTGCTTGCTAGCGTTTGTGCTTGTTGAAGGTCTTGTGTGGATTTTAGCCATCGTGTTCAGGTCCTTTTCGAATCTCGGGATTATGGAGAGAGCGGAGGGGAATTGAGGGCCTCGCTTCTTGCGTGGTACTCTCTGCACACCTATGGCCCAGACCTTCCAGGACTTGCAGGATTATTCAGGCTGAGCAGCAGCAACAGTTGCTGCTGCTGTTGTCGCTGAAGTCTGAAGTCGTTAGCAACAGTCGTCGTCCTAGTTGTGGTGGTTACGGCGGTGGTCGTGGTTGTCGGAGGAGCGATCGTGATAGTAGATGTAACAGGAGCTGGCAGCAATGCCAGCAGTTCTTTGTCGGTGCAGAAGTATCATGAGTCCGTGTTTTACGCTCGGAACTGACGTCATGACCTCATGGTCTGCTTCAAGACAGAAGCAAAATTTTCGCTCTACATCACTAACAGCAAGCATGGCTGTCTATAGCTCCTTGCTGAAACAGACTCTGGATCTGCGAAGGCCACACCGATGCAAGGGCTACCGACGTCGGGCGTACCTGGGCTGTTCTTGAACATGATGTTGAGTTCCCGATACATAGTCTGAAGGAGACGCAACATACTATAGAGGCCGGAATAGCTACCCAATTGATTCCTAGGGTTCCTTACTAGAGGCATACAAAAGTTGACCCCAAGTCCCTATTGAAGTTATCAACGCCCTGCATAAGAGGCCTTTATTACGGCCTGAAGAATTGCCCGAAACCCTGAAGCCGACAACCCTAAAGCCCTAAACCCCGAACCCTAAAACCCTAAAACCCTAAAGCCCTAAACCCTGAACCCTAAAACCCTAAAACCCTAAAGCCCTAAAGCCCTAAACCCTAAACAGGTGCTGGCTTTGTCGTCGCCAAGGTCACGGCGGTGGCTGAGGATGGCAGCTTCGTCGTGAAGACCGGAGATGGGCGTCCGGAGGCCCCCGGCGGGATCAAGGGTAAAAGGAGGGACCCTTAATAAGGACCCCTGGGGATATACGCTTAATATAGCTACTATATACCCATTACATAGCCCCCTTATAGGGCAGGGGTCCCTCCGTTTCCCCTGTGATTAGAGGATCTAAGGGTTCCTTTAGAGGGATCTATAGGGTTCAGGGTTTCGGGTTTAGGGGTTGAGGGTTCAGGAGTTTAGTATACAGGACCTGACAGGATCTAGGGTTGCAGGGTTTAGCGGTTAAGAGCTTCTTGTTGTAATAGGGGCCTTAATAATTACGTATACTATTTTGGGGGTTCCTTATAATAATTGTAGCATGAAGGGGCCCCAAACCCCATCTAGCTATTAGGGCCCCTATATTAGGCTCCCAATCCTGATCAATGTTTGGGGGTTGAATTTCCGAACCGTACATTTAAATCCCAACAGAAATGACCCAAAGCCCCAGAACCCTCCGATGTAGGTGTTCATCGAATGTTGGTGGTCCTGTTTCCCCAGTCCTGAATGTTGCTAACGTTTTCCAACCTTTTCGAAAGATGTTTCCAAAACATTCCCTATGGCTCCATGTACCCATAAAGTATATACTTAGGCCTTAAACTACCTATATAGGGACCCCTTCAACGCTTACGTATCTACTATAAAGGTACATGGAGCCTTCTGTGACTGTCGTGAGAAGGACTGAAGGCGGCAGCGTTGCAAAACTAGTAAAACCGAACCGATACATCTTAACCTCGACTTCCATGCACTTGCCTGCAAGGTCAAGGTGAATCAGAAGCAGCAGGTGGGGAAATTACGAAATCGGAAATCGCTAAAGCCTAAGTACTAGGTGCTCAGGGGTTTGAGCTGGATGGATTCCTGCATCCCCGTTGGGGCTCCTCTAATGTTTAATGCAGCTCGTAAGCGTCCGCTCACCTTCGTGATTCTCTTAAGGCTTCTTGAAACGTGTCAGTAGTTTTGTTAGGGGCTTATAGGGTTGACTGTCTGGTTGACTATCGCGCGAGATCTGGTCCTTGTAACCTGTATAGCGCCGTATAGCTTAGAAGCTGCCCCCACCCTGTAATAGTTGCATAATAGGAATACAGTAGGAATATAATAAGGCCCTAATATAATCCTTATAGTCACTATTACAGGGTGGGGGCAGCTTCTAACGTATAGCACCTAAGCTTTCCGGTCCAGCGATGAAGGTTCTCCCTTGGCCGGAGCTGCTCAAGCTTGCAAGCAACGGTCTGCGCTGCGTACCCTGGTTCAAGGTTTAGGGCTTATTCCTGCACCCCACAAAAACTAGGTAGAATCATGGCCCGAATCCTACAAAAAAATCTACATATTTTAGGTGGTAGATACAGGATAAGGTTTCGGTGTAGCGTGCAGAGTTTACCGTATGCCCTGCGTACCCTGGTGTAGACATCAGTTCACGCTAATAGTGGCCGAGAGAGTTTGACAACAGGTTTCGCGGTACTCTAGAGACTCTAGAGTGCAACTTATCAAGTAGGGACCACCCGAGCATGTTATGGCTAATTACTTATTCCGACCTTTGTATCCCAAACCTCCAAGTCTACAAATACTATATTCTTTGGGGTCTACAGGTCCAAACGGCAGCTATCTGCAGCCGTAGAGTATTGCACAGTGGCGAGCGATGAGCCTAAGTAATTAACTGTACTATTTAAACCCTATTCCAATTATTCAGACCCCTAAAGTACTAGTTGCATACTTGGAGTTTTCTCCTGAAGCATTCCGTGCCAGCTTTCTGGCTTTTGCAAGGTAAGTAACCCCAAGGGTCCATGTGCTCAACTAGGGTTCCTTAAGGGTTCCTGAAGGCTTCCTTTGAGGGTTCTTATAAGGGTTCTATAAGGGTATCATAAGGATTTAGGGTTTAGGGTTTAAGGTCCATGTACCCAAATAGTATATACTTAGGCCTGAAAGTACCTATATCGGTACATTGGGCCCGAAGTATATACTAGTTGCGTATAAGGATGCTTAGGGTAAATGAAGGCAACCCCCCACAGTTTGGCCATATCCAATCTGTTTCGGGGTTACTGTAACGGACCACTCCTTCACAGCGTACCTTTGCATCATTCATGAATGTGGCTCCCTGTGTCAGGAACCATGCCGCTTTGGACAAATAGTAAATCCTAAACCTTGAACCCTAACAGCAATAAGCTCCAAACCCGAAACCCCTACCCCCTAAACCCCTAACAGCCCTGATAGCCCTAAACCCTGCTGGGAGGTTCATGGGACCTACCAAGTACAGTTTTAAGTACCCTAATTGGGATTATAAGTACATATAATGGTAGTTACCCTAGTTAAAACCCTAGTTACTAAGTCCCATGAACCTCTAAGTAGACCCTAAACCCTAAACCCTATAGATCCCTTTGAGGAACCCCTATAGATCCCTTTAAAGGGAACCCTAAAGTAACCCCGTCCAGGTAGACTGGGTCTCTCAGGGCCCCGCAGATTGGATGCAGAGCTCCGGTCCCGGCTTCCGGCTCTCACGGCAAGTGGTCAAGGTCCGGGTTCGATGAGTTCGGGCTTGGGGTTTAGGCCCAGTTGAGGCTTTAGTATTTAGTTTAGAGCCTAAGGTCTCGGATTTGGGGTTTAGGCCCAGTTGAGGTGTTAATTTTCGGTTTAGGGTCGCGGGTTTGGGGTTTCAGCCCAATGCAGGCTTCCGGATTGTGTTTAGAGTTTAAGGTCTCGGGTTTAGGTTAAGGGTTTAGAGTCAACGTCGGGGCGCCCGCGGTTGATGTGCTTTCACGCAGTAGACCTCGGAGCTCATAAGGGTTTTACATTCGGGTCTCTTGGGCCCTCGCACCAGGGAGAAGTCATCGACTTCTTTGTGTCCCACTCGTGGTCGGATGGGCCAGAGAGGACGGGTTTGCATCGAATGGGTGCACGGGCAACATCCACTCTATCGCTCTGTTTGTCGCGGCGCCTCTTCCTGCCTGCCTGCCTGCTTGCCTGCCTATCTATTTATCGTGCTTCTATTTATCTGTGCATCCCTCTATCTACCTGCCCATCTGCCTAGCTCTCTAATTGCTTATCCACCTTTCCGGTGTCTGCGTTTCGTTCATTCTCAGGACTTGATTCATATTGTTATTTCTTGCATTCTTCAGTTTGTTTTTTATTCTGTCTGTGTGTCTGCCTGCCTGTTTATGTGTTTTTCCATGTTTCGACCTCTATGTAGGTATGCATGCATGCGTGTATGTCTGTTTTTATGGATGGATAGAGGGAGGGATGGATGGACGGATGGATGTATCTAAACACCTATGCGTCTGTGTCTCTATGTGTATGTGTATGTTTGTTGTATGTATGCATGCAGACATGGATGCATGCAAGAAGAACTCATGTTTAAAGTAGAGAACATGACCATGTTGACTTCTCAGATGCAACACGAGGAAGTGGCGGGCCCTTCAACTGGTCGCAGAGATGTTCTACGCTCAGCATGGGCGATATCCTACCTTCTGGGTCGACAAGTTCTGCATCGATCAGCGTGACGTGGCTGACGGCCTTCGCGTGCTTCCGGTGAACGTGATGGCTTGCAGGAAGGTGCCTTGTTCTATGCAATCGAAGAATAGCCTATGAGGTGTTGGCTTCGCTCGCCTGTGGCGGCAACAGCATACGGAAGCGCTCCGGCCGACATCATGCTCGCACTGTTTCATTACAGCTTAGGTCCTTGTCCTCTGTGGACGCACCTACCCTGCTCGTCTTTGGTGTGCTTGGGAACTTTGCGTTCTGCATTTCGGCTGCATGTGCGCGCGGGTGTCCAAGCAGCCTCCGCGTGCCCACCCCCCCCTAAATGGTTTACGTGCTAAGCGCTACAACAGCTTACGCCACCTAGATTCCCCCTGCATGTCTTCAGTCTTTAGTTTACCCCTAAATTGCTCGGTACTAACGAAACAAAAAACTGTAATGCCAGTCCAACATTGCATCAGCGCAAAGCATCCTAGTAAAGCCGCACGAAGTATAGACCATCCCAGGCTTTCCTTCATGTCGCTGGAGATGGCACTGAAACAGCTCGTGGTCACCTGCCTTTTGAGTAGTTACGTAATCATGTTTCTGAGTTTTCTTCTTGTCGTTAGAATTCGGATCTAGGGCGGTTGACAAGCACATCTAAGCCTGAAGCCCGGACACTCTCTTAATGCGGTCCCGAATCCCCCCCCCAAAAGCTTCAATTCTATAGTATTGAGGCTACAGGAATCCTGAACATTAAGGCTCCATGTACCTTCTAGTATATACTTAAGCCTGAGGCCCAGTACAGGTACTCCCAGGCCTAGGTATACCGTCTAGGTACCATCGAGCCTCATACCTTAAACTTGCCTTAAACCCTAAACCCTTATGGTACCCATAAAGGAACCCTCAAAGGAACCGTTCTGGGTTCCCTTGTGGTACCCTTCAAGGAACCCTTACGGGAGGCCTTTAAAGGTGCATGGAGCCTCAGAGCGAACCCAGAGACTCCAGTGATTCAATGGCCCCTTACTTAAGGAATAAAGCTTGAAGGGTTCCTTAAAGTGTTCTGTAAGGGCTCACAAGGGGATTATAAGGGATATGCCTTGAGTTATAGAAGGATCCCTGATATTGTTTAAGTTATATTCCTTAGTTAAGGGTTCTTGGAGTCTCTGCGAAACCCAGGTCATGCCTCTGAGCCAAGCCTCCTTGGGCGAACTGGCGAAATTTGACTCATCGGTAGCCCGGTGCTACAACCCGAACGAGGAGCGGAGATAAGGAAGGACCTATGGGCTGTTAATTGGGGGGTTCATAGAAGGCCACCATATCGCAAGGAGGACTTTGGAATAGTGTTATAGGGGGTTCATATAAGGCCACTATTTCACAACCTTTATGCATCTTTTGATGGAGAGGGCTTAGGTTTGAAGGGCTCGTTCCCCTGAATTTGAAGAGATTTTCCCCTGCAGCGTGCAGATTTGATGGCCTCTTTGAACTGATACATCTCTCTAAACCTTAAACCCTAAACCCTCACCCCTAAACGCTAACCCCTAAACCCTAACCTTTTAACCCTAACCCCTTCCACAATAGTGGATTCTGCCGACCTTAACTGCTAGGTGGAAAAAGGTGCTCAAAAAAACTAACCCCTAAACCCAGGGGGCCGAAGGTTGCAGGGCATACCTAAGGACCCCCACACTGATCGAGGCCAGCACTTCGGGGTTAAGGGTTTAGGGTTGGTTGCAGCCGAAAAACTCTTTTGTCAGGTTCCCCATTGTGATTCCTATATATGTATACATATATATATATATATATATATATATGTATGTATATATATATATATATATGTATATGTATATATATATATATATATATATTTAAAATCCCTACAATGTAGGGTTTGGGGGCCAACAGGTGGTGTTTAGGGAAGCCCGAGCGACAGAAACCCTATCCCCACAAGCATTACACCCTAAGACCCAATGCGCAGCCCAGAGGGTCCAAGTACTCAAATAAGAGGGCTTTAGGTACCAAAAACCATTCAGAGCATGCCTTTTGGAATCTAAAACCCTACTATTTGGGTACTTGGACCCTCTGGGCAGCAGTGAATGTGAAGTTGGCAGCCCGAACCTCGAGCACGAATTCGGGGCTCGGTGCCGCTCAAAACCCCAAAAAGCTTAAGCTGCAAACTCCTCAACTTTTGCGTCTTAATCCTTACCTGTGGCCCCAAACCCTATAAAATTGTAGGTTATTTTCAATCCTTACCTGTGGCCCCAAACGCTACAAGATAGTAGGTTATGACCCCGTAATTAGAGGGTAGAGCCCTTAAAACGGTAGGGTTTAGGATCCCCAGGTAAGTCCCAGGCTGTGAGCTGTCAAACCCGACCCAAAAAAGCCCAACAACGAAGCCCACAGCCTGAAACCCGACAGCCGAAACTCCAAACACTATTGTAAGCTTGAAACCTATTGTAGGATCCTTGTTGCTTTAGTGGGATCTATAAGGCTTCCTGTAAGGGGATCTATAGGGTTTAGGGGTTTGGGGCTTGAGGGCTTAGTAGTAGAGTAGGTAGCCTTTAACCTTTTTGGGGTAGCATAGTCCCTATATAACCCCTATATAACCGAAAAGGTTAACCTTTAGTTCCCCATGATACCCGACAAGTAGGTAGTCCAGTGAAATTCAGGGGCTCTAGTGGAGCTCATCAAGTTCATGAGTACCTTAAGCAACAAATCATGTAGCAGCTCGTCTCATGCTGAAAACAATTCATAAGCCTGAGCCTTTGCAAACCCTCATCAGGATTTGGGATTCAGGGTTTTGGGTTTTGGGGTTCAGGATTTAGTGTTCGAAACAAAATCAAACGGTGTTAAAACACACAGCAACCCTGTGACTTCGGTAGCCGACGCATGATCTTAAATGGTTCAAGGTTTGCCACATGTCGTAAGGTACAAAAAATCTTTGTCGGACATGGTTGTTGGAGGAGAACCTCAAGCCCTGAACGCAGAACCTCAGATGCTAACACGCTAAACCCCAAACCCGCAACCAATAGCCCTGTAAACTCCAAACTCCAAGAGCCGTGAAACCCTGTAGATCCTAAAAAAGCCTAAGCCCTAAGGCCCTAAGGCCCTAAACCCTAAACCCTAAACCCTAAACCCTAAGGCCCTAAGGCCCTAAACCCTAAACCCTAAACCCTAAGGCCCTAAGGCCCTAAACCCTAAATCGTGAACCCTAAGGCCCTAAACCCCTAGCCCCTTAAACCCTAAGGCCTAAGCCCACATAAACGAAGACCCAGGAGCTCCGTCTTCGCCGTGTAATCACTGCTATTGGCCAGGCGCGAGCTGGGCTTGGAGTTTGGGGTTGTGGGTTTTAGGGTTTAGGGGTCAGGGTTTAGGGGTTTAGGGCTTTAGGGTTTAGGGATTAGGGTGTAGGGTTAGGGCTTAGGGGGTTAGGGTTTAGGGGTTGCAGGCTTTAAGGTTTCAGGCTTCCTTTACTGTGGGTAGCTGCGTGAATGGCTTGCCATGCACCCTACCTTAAGCGCCAGAAGCCTACCTTCTTGAGGACATATATAAACACATCAGAATAAGGAACCCTGAACAAGTAGATCAATTTGGGGTTCTGGTAAAACCTAAATCCGAAACCGAACACCCAAAACCCAACCCCAAGCTCTGTTTCAATCTGACCATGCGTCCTTGAATGATTGCAGGGGCCAATCCCTTGCTCCGGGCACAAGTTAAATAATATAATATAATATAATATAATATTACATAATATAATATAATATAATATTCTATAATATAGTATAGTATAATATAAAATAATATAATATAGTATAATAGAATAGAATATAATATAATATAATATAATATAATATAATATAATATAATAATATATATATATATATATAGGGGTTTATACGAGTTTTTGGCGGGTCCTCTCGGATTGTGGTGTTTAAGGAATCAGGCTTTAGGGATGTCTGTAGGATCAGGAGAAGTTCATGGGTTCGGCTGTGGTCTTTTGAAGTGCGGGCTCGTCACCCTCCCACCCCCCCCACCCACCCTCCTTGGGCTCCAAAGAAGAAACAGAATCAAAGGGCACCGAGTGTGGCAAGGTAGAGTTTATGACCATGCTAAGGGCTCTGATCAATCATAAACTTGAGACTCGCGCTAAACTTCAAGCTCTGACATCAACATTCTACAGCCTCGCTGCAGAAGACAGCTGGCAGATTCGAAAAGGGCCATGAAAGAAATTACAATAGGGGCCTAAATAATTGCCAACACTAGTTTGGGGGCTCCTTATAATAATTATGATACAGCGGGCCCCCAAACCTTATTCTGCTTATTACGGCCCCGGCCCCGATATCATAGTACTCTTATAGATCCCTTATAGTACCGCTTATAGACCCCTTTAAAGGAACCCTTTCCATTGCCATTGAAAGCCTCTACTAAACCCTTATAGTAGCCCTTATAGACCCCTTTACAAGGACCCCTTTAAAGTAACCCCCTATAGAGCCCTTTAAAATGACTCCTTTAAAGGAGCCCCAATGGGCCCCTAGATTATGGAAAAGGTTCGCTTCGAGTCCAAGATCAGAGCTGTTGGGCAGCTCATCCTCGACCGGGAACTGAACGGCCAAGGGCTGATGATGGACACCCTTTTGCTATAGTATAGAAAATTCAAGAGAAGTTTTTTTTTTCAAAGAAATATGTATATATATATATAGTATTGTTCTAAGGGGGGGTATGGTTTTGCATTTATACCTTTCCTTATTGGCTGTAAACTCAACTTTTCAACTTTTGGGGTTCTTGTATCACAGGGATTCAGGGTAACCATAGTCTCCTTAGGAATTATTTTTTATGTTTGTTCATCCAAAACCCAAGAGAATATTAAGCACATGGCTTATTATGGTTCTAAGGGAGGTATAGTTTTGAGTAGCTGTCTGGTTAAATCATGAGGACCCTTAGGGGGGCAGGGGTGAGGGGTGTAGGGGACTAGACTTCTTTAAATAGGCCTTATCAGAACCTGATTGAGACACCCTGGCCCTATAACCCCAACATATCAGGATTCATATAAGGAACCCTAGTAAAGGCCTAAGGTTTCTTAATCAGGTAGCAGTCTGATTAACCCTCTGGTGCTTAGTAGGGAATGGGGGAATGGATTATGGGAACTACTAGTGGGGATTGTATAGGGACTACGTTCGGGATCCATTCCCCCATTCCCTGCTAAGTAACTCCCTGCTTAGCGATTTGGCTCAGGGCTTTCCGGTTTTCCGCAGGGTGCAGTGTTTTGACTAAGTTTCAGGAGGTTTGTGGCAGCTCTGCCATAGCCCTAAGGCTCCATGTGCCCATATAGTTTTGTACTTAGGCCCACTTCGGCTTTAAAGTACCTATATAGGGACCCCGTTTAACGCTTAAGTATCTACTGCATGGGGCCTTTTGGTAGGGTGTCGTTTTCAATTTTCGATTTTGGGATTCTAGGTTAACGGGCGCACGGCGCCGCGTGGTTTGCATGGCTTCAGCGACGAAGCCCTGACCGTGAAAGATAGGAAAACCCTAGTGCCTAGTACCCTTTGCCCTTTTTAGTTGGTAGGAAAAAGGGTACCCTTATTGTAAAGGGGCAACTCAGGAACCTAGACCCGGTGGGGTGTGTCCGTGCGCATTGCAGTTGTATGATGTGTCACGGCGCAGCTTTAAGATCCTGAAACCACCGACGTCTCGATGAACTCTGCGCCCACCCCGCGCCCCCGATGTCCTACAACCCTGAAGCCAGTTATGATCGACACGTATACACCAAATGGGAAAGTTATGGATGCGTGGAATCGGGGTTCTTGCCGAGCAGGTCTCCGATATCCTACTACTCGGATCTGCTATAACCAGGGACTTCTTCCCAAAGAAAAGCCCCCTGCAAAGAAAAGCCCCTGCCCAGGATAGTGCCGGTGGCAATTTCGGAGAGCGCTTCCGCTACCAGCTGCTAGGTTCTTGTTAAGGAGTTTCTTTTTAAGTTACCAAAACAAAGTTCAATATAGTAAATCAGATGGGCTTCTTTATTATGGTAACTTAAATGAAACCCCTTAGTCTATATATATATTCTATCATATGGTTTCTTCCCCTTAACAAGAACCCAGGCTGAGCGAATCCAGCTATGCTTCCGAGCCTTGCGAGAGAGAAGACTCTTTGATCCAGGAGGTCTTCTGAAACTTTTTCCAGCTTTCACCTTCGTTTTAAAAGCATACCTCAAAGCTGGGGAGACTCTAGGGTTGACTTGGAGGTTCATGGGACTTAGCAACTACAGTCATAAGTACCTTAACTGGGGTTATAACTAGTTATAGGTATAGTTACCTTAATCATAACCGTAGTTACCCCTAAGTAGGGATTCATAAGGGTTCCTTTAAACGGATCCGTCAAGGTACTATACGGGATCCATTAGGGTTTAGGGTATACCTGAGGATCCAACAACCTACTATTTTAGGGGTTAAGCCCTATAATAGGGGTCATAACCTATTATTTTGTAGGGTTTGGGGATACAGGTAAACTTTTTTTAATAGATATCGTATAGGAACCCCTTTAGGAGCACTGTAGATGACCAGAAACTACCGATCCCTATGGTAAGATCTTCTGCCTAAGCCGTAAACCCTAACTAATCTGGGCGCTACGCCCCGGCAACCTGAAACCTAGTCTCCAAAACGGCCTCAGCCACAAGAGCCCACGACTCTAATATGGGGCTCCTTGTAAGTGGTCTTTAAGGGGTACTACAAGGATCTATGGGGGTAGCTATAATATGAGAGGCCTTTATAATCAGAATAGGGTTTTGATGACAATTACTCATAGATATAAATAATAGGGAAGTATTGGTAAGGACCCTATATAGCATAGCATTCCAGCTGCCAATCGCCGCAGCACACGGCCCGCACCGACCGGACTTGGCAAACAGAGCAACCGGCAAAGTATATGTATATGTATATGTGTATATATATATATATATATTAATGATAAGTGTGAACAAGGCATTGGTTGCCGTCCACTGGCATGGAATGGGTTTGCATTGATCCGAACGATGCCATGTTGGCCAACTTGGGTTGCCAAGGGCATCGGCGTCGTGCTCTTAAGGTGGTTCATCACCTCCCACCTCTTCTATCCTAGACGATCTATGTAGATGGACCCTCTGGGTATCTTTCGGGGCTAAGCCCTGCTCCTTGCACTTTTTTGTTTGGAGGCAAGCAGACTCAAGCGAAGCTTCAGAGTTTTAATTTGCCTAGGATGCCCAGTAGTACCCTTATTCCCTTTTTGTAGTCCTAGGTTCCTTATAAAGTTACCCAATACCAAAAAGAGAGGCCTTTTTATTCTTAGGTTACTGGGTATCCTAGTTGCTTGCCGGCGGAGAAAGTCCACCCACAGAGCCCAAGAAGCGTTCAGTTGCCGTTCTATACTACAGCGACCCTGAACCCTAAACCCTATACCCTAAACCCCTCAACCCTGAAACACTAAACCCTAAACCCTACAGCCTCTTTGACCCTAATCTTCCCTTCCACCCAATGCTTAAGACCCCAAGCCTTTTTTCGATCGGAGCTCCACCAGAACCCTGAGCCCTGCTTGGAGGTTCATGGGACTTAGTAAATACGGTTATAATTTTGGTAACTATAATTACAACTAGTTATAACCCCAGTTAAGGTACTTATAACTGGAGTTACTAAGTCCCATGAACCTCCAGGTAGATAGTGTCATAGATTTCACGGCGAAGTAGGTTCTTCTGCAGGCGACTCTTAAATGGGAAGCCCAACACTGGGTTCTTGCTAGGGATATATGCTTGGGTTCCTGAGTGGTGCCCTTATCATTTTGCGGTCTCCATATTAAAACAGAATATTAGGAACCAGGGTACCCGTTTTATAGAGGGGCTATTCAGGAACCGAGTATGTTTAAGTTACCATCAAAGGGATTCAAAGTACATAGTTTGTGATCCTTATATGGTCACCTAGATCAAAACGTTTCTTAGCAAGAGCACATCAGAGAATTTTCTTGTATATAACACCCTCAGGGGAAATCCAAGATCCTCTTCAGATCGTTCAGGGCCCTTTGGCTTGAGTCCCTAGGCCGGCAGGGCGATGGGTTTGGGGCGTAGGCAGTCAAATTGGGATGGCAAGATCCGGTCGTGTGAAGACGTTGAAGGCTTTAGGGTTTGGGGCTTTGGTTTCAGGGGCTTGGGGATTCTGTGGTTTTAGGCGCAGGGTTTAGGGCTTTGGGTTGTAGGATTCCTTCGACCCTAAAAAGGGCGACAACCCCGGTCTTCTCGCTGCCAGCAGCCCTGTATATAGCCCCAGAGTATGGTTTGATGTTTGGCATGTAAACGAAGACCCCTGAAATCCTAAACCCTACGTATAATGTATATACCCATAGTTGCCAAACATACAAACACCATAGTCCTAGACCCTAGAATGCGGCAAGCCCGAAAATCCCAATCCCCCAAAGCCATACCTACACACCCAAAGAAGGTAAAATAATGGCCCAACCCCAGGAAATGGCTATTATTCTCCATAGGTTCGGGGTCCAGGTAGGCCTTAATCCGAAGACAGACTGCCAGTAGTTGGAGTGATATAGACTACAGGGTTCTTATTAAAGATTTTAATATGAGTAACCATAATATGGGATCTATAGCAAGTAAGATGATTGTTTCTTAATTTTTGGTAACTTAAATTCAATCCCTTAAGAAGAGCCAAGTTATTGCGTTATCGCTCCGGGGTCTCTCTTGGGGTCTCTTATTTTACAATCACCTACCAGGAAAGGGATGTTAGGTCTTTCGGGTTAATTATGGGGTTTCGGGCTTTCGGGGTTGATGGTTGTTTGCAGGGCTATAATAGCGTTACTGTTGTCAGGAAAAACCCTATTCAAACCTGTAAGATGCTTGGAAGGGCAGGGGACTTAGTAAGTAGGTCATAAGTAGGGTTATAATTGGGGTAACTCCATTAAGGGTACTTATAACTCTACTTATAAACTACTTACTAAGTCCCCTGCCCTTCCAAGTGAGTGATTGAGGCAGTCCGCGCAAACACCTCCTACTCCTTATCCCCGGGAGTCGCATCGAGCTCAGCCCCGCACCGGCTTGAAATCTAGGATTCAGACTCCGGCGCTTCGGGATATAAGGATGCTTCTTCGGTTCGCCGTTCTATGGTTTTTCAAGAAAAGCGGAGCTGTAGGATGCTGGTTAATGAAGAGCAGCAGGAGCTTGCACTTTTTGATTTTTTTGAAGGGGGGGCTTTGCATTGGCTTTAACCTTCGCTCCTTTTTCGTTTGCAGAATTTGGGGAAACTAGTTACTAGACGTAGGTCGCAGTCGTGGTCGCACTCGCAGTCGTAATGGGGCTTCAGGGCCCAGGCGCCAGCGCTCTAACCTCTACATACTGGAACACAGAGATTCCAATATCCCTGGGTTAAGGAATATTCTTTAAATCTTGTTGGAGACCCCACTGTTATTTAGATTAAGGCATATACAATATATTTATTAGAGTCTCTGGGGTTCATGGTCGCTACAAATCGTAGGTTAATTTCTACAGTGACCTCTACGTGAGCAAGACACGGTGCCGTTTCGTTCGACAGCCGCTCGAACACTTGCAACCCCAGCTAGGCCTGTGGCCCAAAACGCTACGAAATAGCAGGTTACGACCCCCGAAACCCTAAACCCTACCTTAATCACAGGGGAGAACCCTTAAAAACCGGTAGGGTTTTCGGATCTTTAGGGTTTATATTTAAAAAAACACAGTTCACGAAGCCCCACAGTCCTCTTGCAGCTGCCTCCAAGCCCTGCCTGGACCCTTAAGAAACCTACCCCTTCAGGGCTCCTTAGGATGATTTCCTTATATAATATATATATATATATATATATATATAAGTCATTGAAAAAGGTCGGTTATTCGGACCCTGCAGCCCTAAACCGGGACCCCAGGTAACTACTGTCTTAAACCAACATAGGAATGTCAGACCCTTTGCAGCGAAGTTTGGGGTCCTGGTAAACCCTAAGCCCTACAACTCTAACCTCTAAAACCTTAAACCCTAAAGCCTACAACCTAAACCCCTCAACCCTAAATCCTAAACCCTAAAGCCTACAACCCCAAACCACAAATCCCAAAAACCTGGAGCCCTGAACCCTGAGGCCAAGGGCCCCCTAAAGGTGGTGCCCGGGAGCCCAGGCCATCAGCTACGGAGTCCTATTGCCCAGGGGTCCATGTAGCGAAGTAGTATATACTTTGGGCTAAGGTTTAAGGCCAATGTATTTTCTATTTGGTTACATGGATGCTTAGGGAGTGTTTTTTGTTCAAGGCTCACTAGGTTGGATGGGGCTTTGAAGTTTTAGCTGGGTCGTATGGGGCAATACACTGTCTGGAGTCTACTGGATTAAAGGGTTCAGGGTTTGGGATCTATCATTGGTGTTACGGGGTGAAGGTGTTAACATATTACCCTAAACCCGCAGCCCAAGCCACACACCTACACCCTAACTGTAGGGTCGTGGTTTACACTTGACCTCAGGGTTGTATATCATGGGCGGCCCGGATGTTGTCGGATTTTCGCGCATGATGACGTTGTTGTCGTGTGTTGCGCTAGTCTCCTTGTGCTCATACATGTGTTGTTGTTATTTTGATGGTGCAAGTGTCTTTCTTGACACAAGATTTACGGCATCCGGATGTTCGAGGCTCCAGCAGTTCGGTCCTAAGATTTGGGGTGAGTTGTCCTTTATAGTATTTTGTTGCGAGTTGACTGGTGCTCACACCTGCCAGGGACTTTTGTAGGATGATTTCGTGTCGTCTCTTTTGTTCGTAGCAGAGCGCGAATGCTACAACATCTGATGTTGAATTGCCCTTAAGTGCTATTTCTGAGCATGAAAGCACGTTGTGTGCGATGTCCATCCGTGTTCGATCTCGTAAACCCCAACAAGTTTGACTGCCTCAATAGTACTTTGCAATAGCATTCCTTCGGTCTAAACTTGTAGCAATCACACAGCGCCCCTCTGTTACATAAAGATCCTCAACTCTGAAAGCAGCAGGCCGCAGCATGCCCCATCCCAGTGTAGATAGTCTCTGAACAAGATTCTTAGCCTCTAGAGTTGCGATCGCGTCTAGGACTCCTGCAAGACCGAAACACCCTCGAGCTCTGAACGCCAAGCAACAAAAAAAGGCATGCCTCAAGCCCACATCTTGAGATCTTAAGCCCTCAGCTCTTGCCCCAAACCCCGCACCCGAAATGAAACCCCAAACCCTCAACCTCAACCCAGGATTGGGCCCGTCACGCTGCCCCAAGACCCGGGTGAGGCTCTCTTGAAGGGGCAGGCCGCTCTGCACGAGGAGAAATGTGACTAACATATGGGTCTGTTAAAGGATTCTTTGCAGCTTTACATGAGGACACTGTACGGGTACCATTGCGGGTTCAGGGCCGTGGGTTTGTACACTGGTGTTCAAGAACTGTTTTGTTCATGTTGGGTATTGTTTGGTTTGTAGATTTGTGGGATGTTGTGTTTGAGGTTTGAGGTTCAAACGTTTCGGGTTCAGGTACTGTTACAAGGTCACATATAGGGTTCTCTGAAGCACGATTCTCTTTGGAGTCCTTACTGTGAAGACTTGCAAGTTCTTCCTCCCCGCTGTAGTCTTGGATCTTGTGGGGCTTGCAATCGGCTGCCAAGTTTGAAGCTGCTGAAAGACTCGCTAAAAAAATCTGAAACGCTTGCTCAACACTCCGAAACCCTCTCGAAGTCTTGCCGTAAACTCTAAACCCAAGAAAACCCAAACCCCCAAAGTCTCAACCCCTAGCAGCAAGTCCCCAAGCTACCCTCTATGAGGACTCCATTATACCCTAAATAGCCACTATTAAGTACCATAACGGGTCTGTTAAAGGGCACTTGGGGGGTGCTGGTAAACCCTGTACCTTGACAAAATTACCTTGACAAAATTCTAGGATGCCCAGTAGTAACCTTATTCCCTTTTTGTAGTCCTAGGTTCCTTATAAAGTTACCCAATAGCCAAAAACAGAGGCCTTTTTATTCTTAGGTTACTGGGTATCCTAGAAAT